AAGTTATATATGAAGTTATGAACTTAAATTACTAAATCCAAAGTTCAAAGTTCAAGGTTAATCATACTTTTTTCAAAAAACAATTCTCTGTTTCTTTAGTCTCGTGCCTGCTTTGCACTGTTTGCAACTCTGCATGTCTGCTAGTTAAATGTGTTGGTTGATTTGCTGCAAGACACGTGCTCTGCTGCCTGAACTACAGAGTGCAAAGCAGGTAAGTGCCTGCCAACACCCCCACCGAACCCACCCCCACCCCGTTTTTTTTCTTTTTTTTTTTGGGTGCGGACATGTTTGCAGCCCGGGGACCGGTCCGGACTGTCCGGTGTCCGGTGACCGGACCGGTCCGAACACTGGTCCGGAAGACAGTCCGGAAGTGTCCGGAGTCTGGGTCCGATGTTACCATGTTTCCAAATAATAAACAAACCGCCCCCTAAGTATGGAAGGCCGAAGGCGCAAGAGCTTTTTTTTGTTTGATTGGGAGTATTCTCGCGTAAAGTCTCTGAGGATCCCAAACAGCTCGGCGGTCGCTGGCTATAGGCCCATGCTTGGAAAGACTTGAACTCTCAACCCCCAAATCCATAGTTTGGTGCTCTATCCAATTGAGCCACAAGCACATTCATTCGTCCCTTTCGTCTAGGGGTATAGGACATCGCTTTTTCATGGCGAAGACACGGGTTCAAATCCCGTAAGGCGGACGATGGCCACAGTTTGGACCTTGTCCATTTGTGGCCAAACCCTTTTGGGCCAGGTTCGTTTTTGTCCGGCAGCGGACACTCCCTGCTGCATCAGCAGGGAGGGCCTGGACATCCGGTAGGGACCCAGGCAGGCCGTTTTTAGATCAGGCCCAGGAGCAGGACGTTTTGCTGCGATCTGGACTGTGGATTGGACGGACGATCTTGCGGCCCAGATCACAGGTCGTGGGCACAGCACCCAGGCCCAGCACTACTTATAGCTGGGCCAGCTCCTGGGCAGGGACAGCTGGAGTAACTCACTTCTTGGGCGACACTCTGCTGGAGCAGCGAGATACGGCGCTGCGCTAGAGGTAGAGGAGTAGTTAGAGGGAGAGAGAGAGAGAGAGAGGCGGTGGCCATACCTGCAGCGCGGAGTGCTTACCTGGGTGCCATAGCTGGACTTCACGCCAGCATCCTGCTTCCGACGCAATGGCGGCAGTTACCTGCAGGTGAGAAAGTGAGGAGGGCGACATCTTTTTCTTCTTGCTGTTCTCGCCCTCCATATCTTCTTCTTCTTCTTCTTCTTCTTCTTCTTCTTCTTCTTCTTCTTCTTCTTCTTCTTCTTTCAGAGAGAAGGAGAGAGAGGTTATAGGCAGAGGTTATATCGGGCCATGAGGCCCAGGATCTGATTCGACATTTTTTGCAGCAGACATTGATTTGACATTCGGCAGGGAGTCTACTTTCGGACTTCGCTATCGCGATCTTGGTCTTCTCCCTCTTCTCCATCTTCGTCTCGCCTCCCCCCCATTTCTCATCCATGGTATCTCCCCATGTACGTGCTCAAGGAGGGACCTTTCTTCTATGTATGCGGTCCCTTCCCTCTCTCTCACATGTGTGGTGTATGATGCGGTGTTGCGTCAGTATCCGACAGGTCAGGTCATATCTTTGGGTCTTCCACTGCGCTACATTGTGCTATTTTCGTATGTATCTGGATGTGCAATGCTTGTTGATGCTTTGCTGACGGTGCATTGTCCATTCGAGTCCTTTTCATCACTTTGTGGATCCTTGGGTCCGTATACATCGCTTGATCGAGCATGTATCACTGCTTCAGAAGGCCAGCGTTGTCATATTGGGTGTCGATCTCTATTATGCGGGCCGTAGGAGGCCAGCGCAAGAGTGGAACTGTCTTGGCAAGTGACTTTGTACACTGGGAAGGTGGTGTCTAAGAGGAGGGGTCCATAACCATTAGTCCATCATCGTTCGATGACATTGTCAAGTGGCGATCAGGGAAGAAGATCCCGGAAGTGGAAGAGGAAAGGAGATGAGCATTGTATTTATTTTCTTCAACTTTACATCCACGAGTTAATCCTCTTCTTCCTCTACGTCTTCGCATTGTCGAATTGCCTGACGCCATTTCTTTCTTCTTTTTTTTTTTCGCTAGCATGCTTTATTATATATGGGAGCAAAAGGAGGCCGGGAATCCCTCCACATCTCAACCCGGAAGACTGGGGCCATTACCCAGATTTGGCTCTTACTGGAAACCGGGTCCAGTGCCCCTCTCTCCTAAGAAACTTCATGCTATTCCTTTAAAGGATCCAGCAGCTGCTAACCTACCCTCCTCTACCATATATGAGGTCATAATCCTCTCCTTCCCCTAACTTATTATCGCCGTTTCTATATCTGAGTTGTCATCAATTTTGACCTTGTGGTAATATGCATGCTGATGATGGTGATGATGATGTAGAAACGAAGGGGGGGAAAAAAAGGATGCACCAAAGTGACCAAACCTTCAGTCTTGATCTTAAAAGCATAAACGATTTTTTTTTGTTGTTGTATTGAACCCAGGGTTCATTAGAACTGAAAACGAATTCGTTTTATTGAATTTATTATGCTTTTAAGATCAAGGCTGAAGGTTTGGTGTATCCTTTCCCCCCCCACCTTCGTTTTAAATTTCTTCCCGTGTTTGTGTGCCTGTTGTTGGATTTGAACCGTCTTCCTGCCTCAGATTTTAACTTTGAAACATTTGGCTATGCAGTTGTTGTGCTTTTCAAAGCAACTGGGGATGCACCCATCTTGAAGCAAAATAAATTCAAGGTATTGTGTGGTACAGCCAGATTTGCCATATACCTTCTCTCAACATTTCTCTCTTTTCTTGAATAAATGGTGCTGGCCCTCTGTTTTGGAATGGTTTGATTAGAATTTGCGCTTCCATATTGCCGTACTTGTTCCTTGATTCCCCTCATGTCATCCTCGGCCTTCCCATTGGGATTTAGGGTCAAGTGTGAGCTGCAGTGACGACCTTCAGCAGCGCTTGACTGTGAGCGTGCTGAGCAGCCGAGGGATCAACCGGTCGATGCACACTCGTCTGCCACTGGTCAGCCTAGCACAAAGCTTGGGGGTTCAAGTTTAACTCAACAGTTACAGGCACGCAAACACGCACACACCCGCACATATCCATATGCACACATGCACAAACACACACACACAGAGTCACACATTTCCAAGAAGTTGTCGCTGAAAGTATGTGTCTCTCCTGTGTGGACTATCCTCGATGCCATGGCCTGCCATATCCTTTCCTAGCATGTCCCACATGCAGCATTGGGCTGACCTGCTGCAACCACAGTCAGATCTCCTTCATTGTTCTTAGACGAACAACGGACACAGCAGCCTGAGGCGGGAAATAGACTATCGCATTAACCACCTACAGTGGGCTGTACTGAACGGTTATCCCCTCCAGGGCAAGCGGTTGCAGACCAAATTTTGAAAACAGCTAAACATCCTTACTTTTGATCACCCCTCATCATTGCCTTTATAATGACTGTGGAAACCCAAGAAACTTGCTCAATGCTGTTCTGTGAAAACCCACCTGAGTTTCCTCTAGCATGTGATTCGTTTGCTTGGTGTCGTGAGGATTATGAAGGCATAGCCCATGCAAGTTTTTGTTTCCATGCGTATGATGACAGTTGACATTGCACTCATCTACGGCACCCTGACATGTCATGTCCAATTTCTAGACAGGGGCTGGATGGGCAATGCCTATATAATTCTGGTCGTTGTGCGTTTGTTTTCCTAGCATGTAGGAGCCACATAGCCTGTGGCATCTGTCTACGCCATGCCATTTGGTGCAGCAACTGCAACTACGAGAATTGGATTCAGTGCTTCGGCAGGCCACACCTGAACTGTTCCTGTCTGGTCTGTAGAGATGGCCACTTACCATAATTGTGGTCGGCGTGCCTTTGCTTTCCTAGCATGTAGGAGCCACATAGCCCGTGACATCTGTCTATGCCGTGCCATGCGGTGCAGCAACTGCAACTACAAGAATTGGATGCGGCGCTTCGACAGTCCACACCTGAACCGTTCCTGTCCGGTCTGTGGAGGTGGCCACTTACCATAAGCAACGGCTGCTCCTCAAATCAACATCTCCTGCAACACAACAACTGACTGGCATCTTGAGCCATTCTAGAGCAGTCTACGTCAGCGGTCAGCATTGAGAACCCTGTGAAGTTCCTCTTTCCTCTGTTCTGTTCTTTACTCCTCCGCTTCCCTCTTCTCCCCCTTCTCACCTCCCCTGCCCCTCACTTCCTATAGAACTCTCCATCCCCTACTCCTTTCCTTCCTCTCTTCTCTTGTGTGCTAATAGTAAATGCATGCGAACGACCATCATTAAACCACCAGTACACGGCCATGGATTGGCGGCGAGCCCCTCACTGCGATTTTCGGAGGCCTGAAACGCGACAAAGGCCATTGATAAAATTTATCAATGACGGCCTGGCCCCGAAAGTTGCGGTGGTGGGGACAAGCTTATTTTCTGCAACACAGGGGCCGTGTACTGGTGGTTTAAACCACAAGTACACAGCCCCAGCCTTGCAGTCCGAAACTTGTCACCACAAGAAAACGAGGCCAAACGTCAAATGCTGGGCCCGCCGTTGATAAATTTAGATTGGCGGTCGCGTTCGTGTTTCGTGCCTCCAGAATTTGAGGTGTCAGGCCCGCGGCCCATGGGCCCATGTACTGGTGCTTTAAGAGAATAGACAAAAAACATAAGCTGAAGATCTGAGGAAAAATGAACAGGAGTATACTTTCCCCTTTACCCTGCCTCCTTTCATAGTGTGCAAGTGGGCCGTTACGGCACATGGGGGGGATGTGGGCAGCCCGCGCTCAACCACAATCAACGTGGTAAGCCTTGTACTTTGAGGCACAGTAAAAGGGGAGCTGCAAGGACGAATAAAAGTGGTACCCCAAAAAAAGCCAAAGTAAAGATAGTCTGGGGGTGTACCCCAGATAAAGATAGTCTGGGGGGTATCCCAGTAAAAGGGCAACTGCAAGGATAAATGCAAGGAAAATGAGCGATAGCGAACTTCAGAAAACCAAGCAGCATCATACACTTGAGACCAGATAGTCGTGACCTCGAACCAAAAGCAGAATTGCAACACGAGTTCTACCAAATAAGAACACAGCAAAGGCTCCTAAGTGACAATGTTGGAATAGTCTCATCATCATCAACAAAGAACCAATGTCGACATCCTATCTGGCGCTCTCCGCCCCGACTACAAATGACAGATCCTATCTAGCCTATCTACAATGCCGCTGGTGAGGTCAACAGCTCCCTGAAGTACGAGCAGATCTCGGCCAATTCTGTTTGCCTCAAGCACCAGGTATGTCTCTCGTATCACTCATAACCTTGATCCCCCACTCACAGATGCCACGTGCACCCAAGGACCACCATGCGCCCCATCCAGCTATGCAGCGCAGCTTGGCTATGGCTGCCTGCCTCTCCCTGCTCGCCCGTGAGCGCGAGAGCCTGACCAGCGTGTAGCGCGGCAGCGCTTGCGCAGCATGTAGCCAATGCCCCAATGAGGAATGCGGGGGCAGACACTTTCCTAAATGGAAGTGGCCTGCCTGCTGCGTGCGACCTTGCTGTACCGGACTCCGGCCCAGAAGCTTCTGGTAGGCCCCGGGAGGATGCGCCCCAGTCTGAACGAATCAGGCCCAGTGCCTGTGACAGTTACCCGTGCCCAACTGCCTGCAGCCTGAGTTGGGTCCTTGTTGCGTATTTCGCCCAGGGCCTGACTCAGATGCGTTTGATAAAGGTAGCCAGGGCCTGGGCACTTTCAACCAAATGGCGCTGCGCAACTGCCTGAATTTCCCCAGTAGCGTGGAGACCCCAAAATAGGCCCCGGTCGTGCCTGCCTTCACTTAGGGCGGTCGACCGTACTGAAAAGAGCGCCCAGTGGGGCTTATCGAGGCCTTGAGCCTCGCACAAATAAAAGTGGTACCCCAAATAAAAGTGGTTCCCCAAAGTAAATATAGTCTCGTGTATTTGACAAGGTTGAGCCTTGGACATTCCCTGTCGTATGCTATCCCAGTGCTTCACCCATTGGGTCACAGTTGCAGCGGCTAAGGCGTCGGGATGACCAGTTCGATTCCCTGCAGGGTCATTCCAACAGCGTGGTTATATACCCATCCTTCACAGTTACGATATCGAGTATCCCTGGACTTTACCGGTCTTGACGATTACCTCCACAATGTGACACCTCTGCGTTAGAAACTCCAGAATCTATTCCCCCAAATTTCAAAGAGCATCCTGGAAGTTAATCACTGTATCTTCAGTATGAGCCATAGATCGATCCCTAACATAACAGCACCTCCTCATCTCGGTCAACGCCTCAACAAATATGCATGTGCAGGGACGCAAAATCAATATCCTCAACACGAGATCTCTTACGGTCTTACCTATGTAACACGGCTATCACAGAAAGAAAAGGAACAAAAAAGGGCCTTGGTTTGGCCCTGGGCGATTAAAACTCTGAACTGTGTGCCGTATTTTTCCAGGGCCGCCCAAGGTGTGAAACTGCGCCCCGTTCGACCGATAACTTTTTTTTACCTCTACCTAGGGCCCTCCCGTCTGGACTGGATCCGGATCAGGTATCTCGACAATGGATTGAGACCATCCAGGCAGTCCAGATACAGTTCCAGATGTCCCAATGGCTGCCATTAAAAATATTCAAAAAAACTTTAAAAAAGTAAAAACAATCAGGTATGTAGGGTAGGTGCTGTTGTATCAGAGAAAAATATTAGAAACAAGAAGCAATTTTTGTTTTCATGTATTGAAATTTGAAAACATTTTGGCGCACATGCAACACAGAGGGTTACCTTACCCGGCTCTGCATTGAGGTTGCAGCCTTGCAGGCTCAAAAAGTTATCTCAAAGAATTATCTTTGGACTAGCTCACTGGTGGCTTAAGTCACTGCCTCCTGGAAAATCTGGGCAATCCTCCAGACGGAGATGCAGACTGGGCGTATGATTCGAGGACATTCTGCAGACACGCAGAGCGGACATGTGTGGTCGGACATGGGAATGCAGATGATGCAGATGCGTGTTTCAAGTCCTCTCCTGACGGAGAGTGGCCACGGAAGAGAGGGGGGGGGTAACTATGGGCTGGGATGACTCATGTGAAGGATTGGGGTTGAGGGTCCGGCCAGGAGCAGTTGGGAGGGATAGGGGATGGCTTGAGAGGCGGAGGGATGGGAATGGAGGAGGACAGAGGAAGGAGGACGCACTCTTTCTGTTTTTCTTTCTTTTCTTGTGGTTTATCTCTGTTTCTAGTAGACATTCAATTCACGGACGAGAACTCGGCATGCAGAGTCTGACGGAATCAGACGAATGCACTAACGTGAAGGGATTTCAAATACAATTATACAAAGCAAAAAGGAAAAACGGAGAAAAAAGCAAAGTCAACCTCCTCGGACGTTGCTCGACCCGGCTGTTGTTATTAGTGTAATGGCCCGTCAATACACGGACTGAAACATACAGTCGATTTCTGATTTCTGCTCATAGGATGCATGCCGTACTAAGTTCCCTGCCTGTCGATGTGTTTGCTGGGTCTGAGTGCGTGCTTGTTTGTGGGTTGCATGACTGTGTGTGGCCTGCATGTTGTCGGAGTGCCTTGAGTGTGTGTGTGACCTGTATGGGTCTGTGATGGCTGGGCAGGCCCGTGGGAGGGCCGGTACTTACCTGTGGCATGGCGTTTGA